TAGCTACCTAGGTTCTATCTAGCCTAGCTAGCTAGATTTGCTAGCTCAACCTTCCAGGCTTTCCGCGTACCTAGTTGATCTAACCTAACCCGCTCGCTTCGCTCGCTAATTACGAACGATACCCCAATATGAAATAGAATCTCACTTTGTCTCAAGGTATCTCACGTTGCCCCATAAAAATTGTGGGGGTGGATGGGGGTGGGGGTGGGGGTGGATTTGATGGGGGTGGGGGTGGGGGTGGATTTGATGGGGTGGGGGTGGATTTGATGGGGGTGGGGGTGGATTTGGGTGGGGGTGGGGGTGGTTTTATAAATGCCGGCTGAACTGCTGAGAAATTATAATCGAGGGACGTCGTAAGAAGCTCACTACGTATAATTAATTGTAATATATGCATACGAGCCTTTATTTTTCATTAACAATGGGTGCGCAAACCATGATCAGCCCAGATAAATCAAAAGCGTTAAACATTAGTCGGGAAAATTACGTCTTTTCAAATTTATTTAGTTCAGCTTTCATCGAATCTTATTGAAAACTTCCTCGGACTTGCGATATTAGCCTTCTGCGTTGCTCGTTGTACTATAATGCGAACGTTTAGGAATTCTTGTTGTTTACGGTCGCAGGAATGGTTTAATATAACGTTATTAAGCAGGACCCCCAGAATAAGTGTGAAAATGCCTAATTGTCATTGGATTTTTGTCGATTCGTTATGTGATGCTTTACGTTGCAATTACCTAATCTGTATGTAATTCTATGGGCCATGAGTCTTATACATAAACATTATAAAGGATAAATTATTATCAGTGTTTTCCACAACTAAAGGGAGAAAGCTTCATTACTTGTAATACAATTAGCGTGCAAGAGAACGTGAACAATTTCATTGCGACATACATAAATAGCATTCATAGCTCTTCTCATTACAAATTTAAGAGCAGAGAGAGAGCTCGTGCGAAAATGTAAATATATTACGGAAAATTTACAACGCAATGATTGTACCCATGTTATCTAACTCGATCATATTTGCATAACTTATGTATATGTACGTACGCATTTAGCTTGTACATATATCAACGAAATTCATGCTTTACCTATAATTATGCATTGGACTGGTAGTATGACTATACCGTTTGGCAAATTTAATTGGGCACGTTTTAATTACCTATGAAAATATGCTAATTAACCCCATACAATGACGTAATTCTTAAGATACTCGGACAATTTTCCCCGGGCAAGAGTAGAGTTAAATTTGGCATGCTAATGATCGTATGTGAATAGACGGTCTGTGAAGAATTTAATTTCCTAATCGTAAGTAAAGTATAAATAAACGTATGCAGTATTCTAGCTCTTCTCATTACCAATTTATGAATAAAGGGTGTCATGTGAAAATGTAAATATTTTGGAGAAAATTTTACAACGCACTATTTAACTCATAGATACATAACTTTTACATAACCTTTACGTCAGCAAGTTTATGGAATTTCGTCACTGCCGCTACGTTTCTAAGCATAAATTAAGTCTGCCCTACAAAAATTCGCTGAATAAGAACAGTCGCCATACAACCCCTCCACAGTAAATACGAGTCTATTTAAATGGTACATGTATATGCAATAAAATTAGCAAAACTCTAAGTTTCCGCCGCGTTAAACGTCACTTAATGTTAGGGGACAAGTTTCACTCTGTATTCGTAAAACCGGATAAGACCTCGGGCAAAATAACAATAATTTCGAAAACGAAAGAAAGAATCGTAGTTGCTTTCACGATTTTGCAATTCCTCGTCGTCCTCGCTAAAATTTGGTCGATCACTGCAAGGATGGCAAGCCTTACTGAAAAAATCCTCGGCATTGGGATCGCGTCGTTGTCCGTCACGCCATTTCTGGTACGATGTCACACCTCCGCTGACCATGTCCATGTGCAACTCCTTAACTACATATTCTTCTCACAAGGTTGCGTTGCTAAAAATGTTATTATGCAAATTTAAATAGTCAGCTTTTCAGGCAAACTAAAACGTGATCTTGAAATTCACAGATGTCGATAACGGTGGAAGGCAGAACCGTTTACTAAAATATCTCGTCTTCTTTCTTGACGCGATGGAACTCAGTTACTACAACATTGCCACGATGCACTCCTTATTCGTGATGATCTTCCCGTGTCAGATTGGACTCACAAGCTCTATGCTATGCATGGCAGAAAACGGTTTCCAGAATGGCGTCATCGCAAAATCGTTCTTTGCAGTACTGGAGTTTCTGATATTCATTCAAGGCTGTGCTGGTGGGGGATACTACATGATAATACTTCTTTTGACGGGGGTCATCTTTCTCTGGATCGAATGCGAAACTTTCATAAAACGGTATAAAATTGGAAATTCTCAGCAAATCGGTTACAGGAAAGTGCAAATTTTTGAAAAGTTACAGAATGCCTGCACGCGCGATCAGATTTTCTTGACCACCGCAATTTTCATTTCGGCTTGTCAAATGCTTAAGCTATTCGCGACGATTAAGATGCTGCAATCGGGGTATGATTTTTTGGCGATGGTATTTTTGTGGATATATTTCCTGGCCATGAGCTTCAGTGTGATAATGTTTTCGGCAGCTGCGAAGGTGTACAGGGTGAGTCAAAAGTGGACAATGGGATGTAAGGGAACAGACAAAAACAAGTGGGAAAGAAAATTTCAGAGGTCTTTGAGACCTTTGAGATTGGAGTTTGGCAGCAACTTCGTCGAAGTACTCACCCCGCTGGTCGTTCAGGAATTTTGTTTGCGGCAGACGATGTCATTTCTACTCGTGACAAAGTAAACGATAAAAATCCAGAAGTTCCCTAAAAGTTAATAAATATCTATGTACATCAGTACATATTTATGTCTAACATACCTACAGACTTACCTAATTAAACTAGAGGTTCGCATTCATAATTTTAATGTATTCTTCAAATCTCCCATGAAAAATTACATTTACAGTTTGCATAAATCCATACATACTCCCATAAACTGTATCCGTGATGTTGTAATTTTAAATGTTATTTTTGGTTACCAATTTACTATTTACGTTACGTTACGTTTGTGTTACGTTAAAATCGCTAACTGCCTATTAAATATGTATAATCGAGAGTCGTCGTACCCATATTCATACAACACGTGTAAATAGGTAAGCGAATTTCTACCTATTTTCCAGTAATCCTAAGTTATGTGCAACTACTTGTTAGCAAATTATGATAAATACGTAGTGCATATATAAAGGGTGTTAATAAAGTCCGATCCCATGCATTTTTTGGAGCGTGGTTGTTACAAATTCAGCTGGAACTTTTGAACCAGTGAAGTTATTTATTTCAAATTTTTACCATGGGAGGAACAACTAAACGTGTAAGTCATGAGCATCTTAGAGTTGAGATACAAACATTGCATCAGCAGGGGCTTAAACCTACAGAAATTGTGCAAAAATTGGGCTGCAGCCGCAGAACTGTTTGGAAATGGAAGAATAAAAATTTTGTCCACGACAAAAAGCGACCAGGGCGACCCAGAAAGGTGTCACCTACCACAAAAAGAATGATTAAAAACAGACTTTGCAAGAAAACCGGTAGTTCATTACGTAATTGAGCAAGGGAGTTAAATGACTCAAAACGCTATAAAGAGAAGAAGAAGCAAATTAACTGTGTGACCGTGCAAAAATTTGTGAAAACTACGAAGTGGGGTCACACAGCTTACAAACTAACCAAAAAAACCTCTCATGTCACAAAAATATATCGATGACCGTCTGAAATTTGAAGAACTCCTTCAGAAAAGTGCCCATTTGAGTGAAAAAAGACTTGGTGAAGAATTGCGCAGTCACATCCTTTGGACTGACGAATCTATTATTGAACTATATCCAAAATTGAACCAACAAAATGTTCGTTACAGGACAGAAAACAAATCGGATGTACCATCAAGAGCGATCCCAAAATTCGGGCTTAAAGTTATGGTAGCGGGTGGATTTTGTGCACGTTGCGTGACCCCTCTACATATCATACCAAAAGGCCAATCAGTCAATGCAAAGCATTATATGGAAAAAATATTACCTATCTATTTCGATAGCATGGGGAACAAGGAAATATTTCCGAATGAAAGAAAAATAGTTTTCATGCAGGATGGTGCTATAGCCCATACAGCAAAAGCGAGTTTGAGTCTCATCAAGACGCAAGTTTCAACGGTCTGGAGCAAGGGGGTGTGGGCCGCTAACGGCCCAGATTTGAATCCCCTGAAGAACCAGTGGTCCATACTTAAGGAAAATGTATACAAAGAGCCACAACCCCGGACGAGGGAAGAGCTAGTAAAAAAAAGTTCAAGATGTATGGAATTCGATTTCCAGAGGCACATTGGAAAAATTAGCACAGAGCCTTAAACAAAGAGTTGAGGGCATGGTTAAAGTAAATGGTAACAAGACCAAATACTAAGGTAAATATGTCGAACATTTTTTGTAAGTATCACGGGTAGTTTTTTTTATACTAGCCTTCACTTTTTTACAGGAAAAATGGGATCGGACTTTATTAACACCCTGTAGTTTAAGGATGAGAAATAAATTTATGGACTATTGTACTTAAATGGTCGTTTATGCATGTATGCCAACCACGCCCCTCAAATTGGATAGACTGTTTATTAATTCCAACTTAAAAATTTCCCAAAACAATCACATCTAGATTTTGATTATTTTATCATTTCATTTTCAGGAATAAAGAGTTGTGGTTGTAAGGTCTCGATTAAATAATTCATCATTACATTCAAGCCATGGTCGTGTCGGAAATTTATTTGAGGCAGACGGGTTCATTCGTACTCGTAACGAAATAAATGTGTGCTTTACAACAATTTTTTTCGTGATTAAATTATTTGCATGATTTACACAACAGTATTTTTAAAATACTATCAAATTTACTACTGATTATGCAAATTTATTAAATTCTTCGACTAATAAATACTCAAATTATCAAATGACAAATATTATTTACTTATCGAATATTTTATACATAGAACACACATAAAACTATGTCTTGATAAGTATCTTATCTAAAAATTCATTGCTAAAAACCCTCCAGGGATCATACCTCTCTAAAATCTCCACTCCTAAATTCCACTCTTTCCGTTCATCCGAAGATGAAAATACGTCCGGCAAGGTGTTAAAAATTGTTTCATTATTCCAGGCATTTTCCCACGTGTGACCCCAGCCCTTCGCCCACTCCACCCTCAACACGCCATGGACCTGATGAATATCACGATACAAAAGTGACTGCAAACTCGCCAGAAATTCCTGAGCTTTTCTCGTCTCAGGAAACGTGGCAAATTCAAACCAAATCACGATATCGTACTCGGGATGGTTTGGCACCGGTTTTGCCGGTGAAAAGATGGGTGGTTCTGCGTCCGCCCCCTCTGCCAAAATATTTTCGGGGTCCTCCACCCCCGTGACTCGCATATCGAACGAACCTGCGTTCGGATATTCGCCCCGGGCATGCCACTCCGAGGCCAAATCGTCATAATCTTTCCGTATAATTGAGACAACTTTTTGAAAATTTTGGCGCGATGTGACCACCACGAATGAATTTGGCCTGAAGATTAGCACATGCTTAGAATAATATAATAAATGGTTTCTTGACCGACCCCAGTAATCCTGGGACCCGGTGAGATATGATACAACAAAGTTTAAACGAAATGCCAGACGGGAAATAATCTTCCAAACGTGCGGAATCCTTGCGAGCAGCCATTTATAAATTCTATTACCCGGGATATAATTCCCAAAACGGTGATTGTACGGTGTTTCCGTGAAGGTTGACCCGGTCGGCTGTTCTGGTTCGGAGTGCCACCCAAAAAGAAATACATTCGATTCATCCAAGCTGATAACTTGTATTCGTCCGTACAAATCCAAATAATCCGCCAAGTTTGGTTTATCATCGTCTTTTTCCTCGCAAAATAATTGGCGCACTTTTACGAAAAAACTTTGCGATCTTAACATCTGATCTGGACCAACCCGTATTTTCACCCTGGTTACAAACGTTCTCCCCAAATTGACGAGAAATGCTTTCGTGTCCGGATGTGATCTTGACAGCGTTTGGACGACATATTTTCCAGTAGTGTTGTCCCATCGGATGACGTCCATCTCGAGGACGAGATTGCTAAATGTTCCGTACGCATGGCCGAGAGATTTGGATTTGGCGGTTGTGCTAATGCCGGATCCGTGCGCCCCAACTGCCAGCATGCCACCGACGGAAAGGTCATCTTGCGAGGGGCAGGAGAAAAGTCCGAGTTGATGTGACTCCAAGGTTTTTAAGAGGCGTCCCAAAGTGACCCCTGGGCCGAGTGTGACGCTGTGCAGGGAAGTGTTAAAGTCAGTCGTGACTTTTATCCCGGTTAAATATTTTGTGGTGTCGATTAAGAGAAATTTGGGGCAATGGGTGGCTTCCTCGTGTTTCGAGAGGGTGATGGGACTCCAACTGTGCATCCGGCCCACGCCACGGACCCGATAACCCGCATTCTTTGCCCAGTTGACCAGACTTAAAACTTCGGAGGTGTCCCGTGGGGAGGAAAAGTAGCAGAATGGGATGACCACGTCGGACGCGTAGGTTTTGAAGGGGCGTAAAGTGTAGGTGGAAGTGGGGGGAAAATCTGGTAGTGGGGGACACGGAACCAAATTGGGGAGTGAGGTGCCACTCGTACCTGGAACCGGGTTAATTATGTTAAAGTTAAATGTGTTATATATTTATGTATGTATTACGTATTTATTTATCTATTATTTATTTATTCGTGTGTTGCTTTATTTTATGTATGTATATGACTCGATGCCTCAGCATAAACATCAACACATTTTTAGTTGTTGTTTGGCTTTGGAAATTTATTTTAAAATTCTTGAAGACCAATTTGTAGTCAATAAGTTAATTAATAGAATGGCGATGAGACTTTTTAATTACGATAAGCCAACTTCGATACGTTCCGATTTTTCTGAAGGCTTCTTAAATTTGAGATTTCCTTTCAAAACTGACAATCTAGATACCTATATTTAAAACACTGTAACGATAAATTCTTCAAATTTGTCATCCAGAATTTTTAAGTAATTTCCTACAGCAGAGAAATGATTACAAATGTGCTTATTTTGACGAATTTGGTGAGGAGTAATCCAGTCCTACTTTAATTACCCTGGGATTGAAGTCCACCTATTGCAACAAATGCTATTATACTTATCAGATTCGGTTTCATGTTTTGTAAAATTACATAAGACCGAAATACGTAATTGTCGTTCACTTTTTTGAATTGTGCGTAATTTCCAGTTATTTGCGGGCTAAATTGGACCCCAGGAGAAATTTTGTTGCTATTTTTTTCACTCACTTGATGACTTTTGTATGGGGAATGAAACTTGACGCTTTTTTATCTTGCAGCTAAATACGTGCAGAAGTTTTGCATACAAAAGCAATAATAATAATAAGAGCAGAAACTTGCCGGAACAAATATGTAAATAGTTATCCAAAGTACTGCACAGGGATGGCAAAACTTGCTGCCCTTGATAAACATTATTTAAGACATATTACATATGTAAGTACATACATAAGCATGTTACATTATGTTATGTACATTACACGTGCAACTCCCAGTGGTTCTTCCCCACAGATTGATCTATCTGCTTGATCGTGTGAACATGAGCACTTGTGGCTTTATTTTTCAGCAGAATTACTTTTGATTTCTGCACGGAGCCAGCAAATTAGGCATACAATTTCTGATTTCATTTCGGCTAAGCTGGTCCTGTCCAGATCCTGACTATGCTACGCGATAAATAAATAGAATTGTGATTCCTCATAAAGAACCAGGCTTATCGAGTTGTACTTAAGGACCTAATTAGAAAATATGTACATACTTCGTATTAAGCGCGCAAATATTTTTTATTGATAATTACAAATGTACATAGGTATGTATGTATTACATACGGGATGTTTGTTCTGAAGTTTCATGTATCTATGTATGTAACTATATGCATAGTTTTCAAACATATAAACCCAACTACCACTAGCATAAATAGTTAAATATGGACATATGTACATATGTATGTTGGGATAAAGCGTAGTTAATTTTTTGCGATGTCTTGCTTATATTTTTTAGTTTCTTTCACTTTTTTTATATTATGAGAAATATAAAACTTTGATATATCTTTACTATGGAACGTATAAAATACCCCAATTACCGTGAGCGTACGCATTTCAACCTTCCCATATACATATATCTTATAAATTGAGCTTAGGAACATATGTAATAACGAAGTTTGAGAGAAGTTTCAAAACTTTTGATGGAGAGTAATGGGATTTTTTTCGCAAATTTACCCAGCACCTGAGCATGTTTAAATTTGCTATTCATTTGCTTTTATTACCGTTTATCATCATCAAGGAGAAAAATTGTATGCCATAATTTTACACTACGTATGCATATATACTTTCAGGTATATGTACATATGTAAATAGATCGAGGCGACTTATCCAAAGAGTGTATGTATGTAAATCTGAATTTGTGATGATACATGTTGAGACAATTTCGTAAAAATTAATTCATACGTTTTAAATCTATGCATGTAGTTTTTTTTTTTTTTTAAAACAGAGAAATGTATGTTTCTGTGTGTGTGGTGTGACTTTTGTGTAACTAACGGTGGCAAAATGTGACCATGTAGGCGTAAATAAGGCGGCGGTGTGGTCACAAGTTGGTTACTGGGTTGGTGTCATTTTATTTTACACGCAAAAGCCAATTACAAATTTTGAGTGTTAGAGAGACGAGTGGAGAAATCGTGCTGTTATTCTCGTAGCTGGAGGGACACTGTCTTAATTTTCACAATTGTGCACGAATATCACACGAAAAAGCGACGCTAACTTTACAAAGCACTTCCTCCTCTCCTCCTCTCGACCAATCACAAAAGAACACCTTGAAATTTAATTTAATTTAAAGAGGAGGAGAGGAGAGGTCAAAACTTTAGAAAAATACAAATTGTAAAAGATAAAAATGTGAACAAAACTCAATTATCAGCAGGCAGACTGGAGCCGGTTCAAATTTCCCTCCCGATCTCCAGTCTCAAACCCATACAAAATTTAATATTTATCATGTCATGCAAATTCTCATTATCATTAAAAGTTCATATATTTGTTTAGAAAATAATTATGTAAATTCTCGACGACATGCACCCCCTCAATACGAGTGTCGTATTCCACTGAGGGAGTCGAGCTGAGCGTTGGGCTTCGCGGTCTTGGCCCGCACGTCGAGGACGCAGAGTTTTGCGACTGGGCGGCGATACTGCTTCCCGTTGGACATCCGGATGTCGACGACGCGGGGGATTCCATCACTTCCGGGGAAAGTTTTCACCACCATCCCTAGTGGCCACTGGTTTCGGTCGAGGGACTCGTTGACCTCGACGACGACGTCTCCTTCTTCGATGGGATTGGTTGGGCGGTCCCATTTTTCACGGCGGAGGAGCGTGGGGAGATATTCGATGACCCACCTCCTCCAAAATTGATTAGCCAATTCTTGAGTGGCTCGCCACTGGCGGTGGCTTGTGAGATCTGTGGGGCTGAACTCCCCTGCGGGTTGCAGGTTGCTGGAGCGACCGAGGAGGAAGTGGTTCGGAGTGAGGGCTTCGGGATCATCAGGGTCAATTGATACGTGAGTAAGAGGGTGGCTGTTGACCACGTGTTCGGCCTCGACGAGGAGGGTGTAGAGGGACTCATCCTTCAGGTTCCTCTGGAGGAGGACCTTTCCCAAGGCGGTCTTGACAGACCGGACGAGGCGTTCCCAACTTCCGCCAAAGTGTGGTGCTGAAGGGGGATTCCAGTGCCAAGTGATTCCTCGCGTGGCGCACTCGTTCTCCATTTGTTTTTGATTTATTTCTTGCAGGGCGGTTTTGAGCTCGTTATCGGCACCTCGGAAGTTCGTACCGTTATCGGAGTAGATGTGGACTGGACATCCTCTTCTTCCTACGAATTTTCGTATCGCCATGATACACGAGTCCGTGCTTAAGCTGTGGGCCAGTTCGAGATGGACGGCGCGGGTTACGAGGCATGTGAAGAGGGCGCCATACCTCTTCTCGCGACTCCTCTTCACATTAACCTCTATGGGGCCGAAGTAGTCGAGGCCAGTGCGGTGGAAAGGAATGACATGACTATCCAATCTGGCGGCGGGCAATTGTCCCATCTCAGGAGGGGACGGTTTGGCTTTGTAATTTTTGCAAATTTGACAATTCTGCTGAGCGTTCTTGACTGCAGGGCGGAGGTGGACAATGTAGAATTGCTGGCGAATCTCATTCAGGATTCTCTCTGTACCATGATGTCCACACTGGCGATGAAAGTGGGCGATGAGGAGACGGGTGTACGGGTGTCGGGCGTCCAAAATGACCGGTCTTCTCATTGCTACATCAACTTGGGCAGCGTTATCGATGCGACCGCGGGCTCGCAGAACCCCTTCTTTGTCCATATAGGGGCAAAGCTTGGACAATTTACTCTTCTTGGGGAGGGGCAGTTCGGCAGACAGGCACTCCCACTCATTCGGGAAACTTTGCTGTTGACTCGTTCTCCACCACCACTCCTGGGCGCGGACTAACTCTTCAGGGCAAAGTTCCTTGTTGTAGAGAGGAAATTTATTTTTCACCCTGTCACGAACTCTGAATACGTAGGCGGTGGTATTGATAAGGCGTCGCCACAATGAGAAGCGACTAATGTCGATGACGGGGGCAGTTTCATGGAAATGAAGGACGCAGTGGGTTTTCATCTCCTCTTCTGGGCTTTCTTTTATTCTCGAGCAGGTGGGGACAGGCCAGTTTTCTTCGGATTGTTGGAGAAAGGGGGGACCATTCACCCAACGGCTTGTGGGTTGGAAATCGCATGGCGACTCTAGACGGGTCAACTCGTCGGCGACATTCTCCAAAGCAGGGACCCACCTCCATTGTTCTGGAGTGGAGAGTTCTTGTATCTCTCCCACTCGGTTGGCAACAAATTGGACGTATTTTCGTCCATCAGATCTGATCCATCCCAAAACGGTGGTGTTGTCGGACCAGAAAATTGTTCGGTCGATTTTCACCTCGTGCTGTTCACTGATAGTGTGGGCAAGTCTAACTCCCATTAACGCTGCTTGCAACTCCATGCGGGGGATGGAAAGGCTTTTCAGGGGGGCGACTTTGGCTTTTCCCATGACGAGGGCAATTTCCACCTTCTCTTCTTTATGGATGCGGAAGTAGCCGACTGCTCCGAATGCCTCTTCACTGGCGTCGACGAATATGTGGAGTTGGACTTCATCTGCAGAGGTGAAGGTCCACGAGTAGCAACGTGGGAGTCGGAAAGTGGGGATTTTCTGCACTTCTTGTAGCCATGTTCTCCATGATTCAAATGTTGATCGCGGAATTTCATCATCCCATCCGACCTCGCTGCGCCATGCTTGTTGTAGTAAGATTTTTGCTTTGATGGTGAGGATGACGAGGAATCCCAATGGGTCATAGATAGACATGACCAGTGAAAGCATTTCACGCTTGGTGGGGACTTTCTTCCCAGACAGGATCTCCACTCGCGCTTTAACAAAGTTGAGGGAGAAAGTGAAGACGTCGGATTCTGGTCTCCAGAATAGACCGAGGACTCGCTCGATGACGTTATCTTCACCCATTTGCAGATCCTTCATATTGCTGGCACGAAGTTCCTCTGGGATGTGGGCAACGACTTCGGGGGAATTGGACAGCCAATTACGAAGGTTAAATCCACCGGCGGCGTGGATGGTTCGGACCTCTGCGAATCTTTTCTTGGCCTGCTCCACGGTGTCACATGAGTCGAGCAGGTCATCCACGTAGTGGCGGTTGATAATGGCATCTACGGCGTCGGGAAATTGCTGTTGAAATTCTGCAGCATTTTTGTTCTTCGCCTCTTGGGCACAAGTTGGCGAGCAGGTGGCTCCAAAGATGAGCACTCCCATTTCGAGGGTATCGGGGGGACGAGTGTGGTCACTTCCTCTCCAAAGGAAGCGTTGGGCTTGGGCGTCTTCTGGTTTCACCTTGACACGGTGAAACATGTCCTCAATGTCGGCGGTGAGGGCAATTTGTCGTTGTCTGAATTTGAGGAGGATATTCGGGAGAGGAATTAACTTGTCAGGTCCTTGGAGAATGTGATCGTTGAGACTACGACCGTGATTCTTGGCCGCGGCGTCAAAGACGAAACGTAACTTCCCTGGTTTCTTGGGATTGTACGCCATAAAGTGGGGAACGTAGTTCGTCTTGTTCGTAGTGGTGGCAGCTTCCTCAGGGGACAAAATACGGGCGTAGCCTTTGCTGAGATATTCTTCAATTTTGTTGCAGTAACTTTTCATAAATTCGGGGTCGCGGTCCATCTTCCTCTCCATGGACATGAGGCGACGATAGGCGTTGGAGTAGCTCTCGGGAAGTTTGACATGATCATCACGCCACAACAACGCGGTTTCCCATCCTCCTTCAACACGGCGAGTGGAGGCGTCCAAAATTTCCTGAGCTCGCTTGTCCTCTTTCGTTCTTGGTTTATCCACCAACGGCTTAACTCCAAATGACTCGGTGGAAAATTGGTCCTTAACGAGTTGGTGGAGAGGGTCGACCTCTTGCATGTGATATGCGTACTGTTCCCTGCCGGCCCAGGCTGTTCTCCCCATTAACGCCCATCCCAACGGCGTGCGGATGGCGATGGGAGAATTGCTGCTGTTCCCCTTTCCAACTCGGAAATCTTTTTGGAGGAAGAGGGTGGGGTTGTCCATCCCCACGAGGATGCCTGGACGCTTGCAATCGTAGGTGTTCAGGTCGATTCCCTGGAGGTGAGGCCACTTTTTGAGCAGTGACTTCCTGACGGACTGCTCCCGCAGTCTTAATCGGTCAACTGTCTTGACATTGTTGAGGTCGTGGACGTAGCTTCCATCTTTGGACTTGATGCGGAGGGAGACGACTTTAGTGTTGAGTACGGTGGGATCACTCTGGAATCCGCCCACTGTTATCTGACGGGATTCTCCTTTCAATCCGATGGCTTCGGCGATGGTACTCTCAATTACTGTAAGGGTACTGCCACAATCGAGCATCATGAATGTGGAGATTGACCCCGTGGGACCCTCCAATGTGACAGGGAGGACCATCAAATTGATGTAGGGCATCTCTTCTCCTGTATTCACCATTTCCGGTGGTACAGCAGCAGAACGACGAGGATTTTCGGGATCGTCGGCTAATCTTCTTCGGGGGGCGGCGACATGGAGCAGCTTGTGGTGGGGTTTTTGGCACCCATCGATACCACAAGCTCGGGGGAATTTACAGTCCTTGACTGCATGACCGGAACTCAGACACCGGAAGCATAGGTGGCAATTCTTGACGAGTTCCCACCGTTCGTCCGTCGGTTTGTCGGCGAAATCTCTGCACGCGTGCAGTTTGTGATTGTTGCTTCGGCAACAGGGGCACTTTTCGGGGGGCTTGGCGTGGCGAGGACGATTTTCTCGGTGATCGTCTCGTGTTTTCTTCTTCTCTTCTTCCGCCACCATGACTCGGTCGTGGAGATTTCTTCTCTTTCGCTCATGGTGGTTGGATTCGTTGCTGACTTTGGGGGGACAGAAGGCCCAGGCGGCGTCGGAGTAGTGGTTCAACCACTCTGCAAAGAGGTCAACGGTAGGGACGGGATGGCCGGATAACTGAAAGTGACGACCCCATTCCAGCTTGATCACACTGGGCAACTTGTCCTCCAATTCCTTGATGAGCATGGGATTATGCAAATGCTGCATGCAGTTGAGGGAGGTAATGTTGGCGGCGAGGTCGTCCACTGCGATACCAAGGTCGACAAGCGTGTCCAACTTTTCAATCTTGACGGGGGGGAGTTCCTGGACTTTTCGGATTAAATTTTGAATAATTTGGTCAGGCCGACCAAACCTCCTTTGCAATCGTTGCATTACTGCCGGGACATTGGCGGGGGACACCAGCAAGCTTTGCACAATTTTCAGGGCCTCTCCCTTGAGGCAACGTTGGAGTCGGATTAGGTTCTCGGCGGGGGAAAACTGGCAGAAATTCGTGCTGTTGACGAAGGCTACGTAGAAGGTGCCCCACTCTTCTGGACGACCAGTGAAGACAGGAAGGTCTCGACCTTGGACCTGTCGTGCCAAAATCTTGTCGGTCGACGAGCTAGTTGGCTGGAAGTTGGGCAAGGTCGGGACGTGGGGATTGTGCAGCGGTGGAGGCGGCGGTGCTGCTGAATACGGCATGGACACAGGCGTGAAATGAGGCGCAGTCCAATAATGATGAGCATGAGGGGGAGGATTCGACGTGCTCCCACTCGAGGCGGATACAAACGGCGTGGTCTGTGCAGACGTGACGATGGGGGGAATATTCGAGGGCGGCGGCGGTGCAGCAGAGACGATGTATGACGTGGGCACTGTAGTGGGAGGAGGATTCCCCGGAGAACTCCAACTCGCCATTGTTACTAGTGGCGTGGTCGTGTGAGTGGCTGCTGTGAAGGTGGGGATATTCGGGGGCGGTACTGCAGCAGCGGTCGTGTGCGAAATGGACAGGGGCGGCTGTGTTGCAGCGAAGAACGAGTGTGGCGTGGACACTGGCGGCTGCGTGGACGTGAGAGTTGCCCAATAATCTTGAGAAGAGGTGATGTAGGGCTTTGCGAAGGTAGCGAAGAGGGGATTCAACATGGCGGCAGTCGTTGTTGTGGAGGAGGAGGATGCCGACATTTGGTGTGCAGTCGCGGCGGCGGTGGTAGTGACTGGCACGGACTGGGGGACATGTGATGTCCATGTGGTGACGGTTGGCTGACCGGAAGTGTGACTAATTGTCGTGACTGGGGACGACAATGGAAAGAAGTGGGCTTGCTCTTCTTGGGACAGAAACGGTGACGTAATTGGGGTGCTGCGTATTTCTTGCAGTTGATGCGTCCACATGAGGGTCAGGTTTGATTTGTCAACTGGTTCTGACTCTCGTTCAACGTCCTCCGCATCTGAATCGTTTTCAAGCTTGTTCAGTTCGGCGTCGGCTCTGATCAAAATTTCTCTCTTCTGCAGCTCGGCGGATTCCTCGTCGAACTGAACGAGGACTTTTGCACGCGCCAAATCCTCTGTTGACTCTTCAAGGTCACTTTCCAAACCCTTGCGCTGGCTGACAAGATTTGCAACTTGTTCTGGGGATAGGTCAGGATCTGCACATAGGTCGACGAGTTTCTGGATCTTGCGTTCAATGGACTGTTGTTGAGCCTCCATTAACGCGAAGTCCTTTCTTCGCGCAAGCTGCGCTTTGTCGACGACCGCAAGTGCGGTGCGGGTTTCGACGTCGATCCTCTTCTGGCTTCTGACGATGGACGAACTCTTCCGTGACCCGCTTCCGGTCACGATCGACGCAGGAGAATCCACCGCTGGTGGCGTGGTAACGTTGACGTTGGGGGCGTCGTTATCGCAGTAGCGGCGTGGCAGCAGTCCTGCTGTAGTCCTCACGGGTCGTTCTCCCATCCTGTAGGGACCAATAGACCCAACAAAGGAAAAAAATTAAAATTTGTCCTTGTGGGAGAAAAATTGGACGCCACTTCCTCAAATATGAACCCCTTCAGGGGGCGGGTTCAAACCCTTAATACAGGTGTCAACTCTGTGACGACGATTCCTGTGGCGGCTGAATGGACCCTGGCGGCGGTGGTCCTCTTTCTCTTTGTGGTCTGCTGTGAAATAGGGACCCAAAGAGAGAAACAATTAACAATAATCCTTAATGGGAAGAAATCGGACTCTACTTCCCAAATGCTGAACCCCTCGGGGCGGGTTCAAACCCTTAATACGGGTGCCAACTTTGTGGCGATGATTCCTTGTCGGCGGGCGAGCGTCGACTCCAGATTTAGACCCTTTTGGCTGGCGGCGGGTCCTCCCACTCGTCACACTTCACTCTCCTGGCACTTTTAGGGCTGGGACGATTCAGGAGCGAGACCATGTAGTTTTTTTTTTTTTAAAACAGAGAAATGTATGTTTCTGTGTGTGTGGTGTGACTTTTGTGTAACTAACGGTGGCAAAATGTGACCATGTAGGCGTAAATAAGGCGGCGGTGTGGTCACAAGTTGGTTACTGGGTTGGTGTCATTTTATTTTACACGCAAAAGCCAATTACAAATTTTGAGTGTTAGAGAGACGAGTGGAGAAATCGTGCTGTTATTCTCGTAGCTGGAGGGACACTGTCTTAATTTTCACAATTGTGCACGAATATCACACGAAAAAGCGACGCTAACTTTACAAAGCACTTCCTCCTCTCCTCCTCTCGACCAATCACAAAAGAACACCTTGAAATTTAATTTAATTTAAAGAGGAGGAGAGGAGAGGTCAAAACTTTAGAAAAATACAAATTGTAAAAGATAAAAATGTGAACAAAACTCAATTATCAGCAGGCAGACTGGAGCCGGTTCAAATTTCCCTCCCGATCTCCAGTCTCAAACCCATACAAAATTTAATATTTATCATGTCATGCAAATTCTCATTATCATTAAAAGTTCATATATTTGTTTAGAAAATAATTATGTAAATTCTCGACGACAATGCATGTTAAACTTGCTACAAAATGTATCCAATTTACGTTCGTAACAATGATAGAAGAATATTCATTTCCAGAAAATGAACAAAGCTTTATTTTTTTCGGTACTGTACAACTTCATAAATATGTTTATAAATAACAAAATTCATCCCTGATAACTTAAAGTTTGTCCAAATGGCAGGATTGCTTTCTTCACCTGCGACTAGACTTGATTGTTCTGCTCATTACTTCCATTTTTAACAACTGTTCCTTCTACTACTATTGCTTCTTCTTCTTTTTGCGAGGGTTGGAACAAAAAGTGGTAACAGACAGCCCCCACGACACCGCCGGTAATCGGGCCAATCCAGTAAAGCCAGTGATTCGCCCAGTCTCCAGTGATAAGAGAGGGACCAAAGGATCTAGCCGGGTTCATACTCGCCCCAGTAAAAGGACCCTGAATTTATAAAAATCAACGCTGAGTTAATTTGTTTCGTAATTTTGTAATGCATTTAATTACTTGGACACTTACACAAAACAATATCAACGCCGCTACCAAGAGCCCAATCGCCAGAGGTCCTGATCCCTGTGGCTCACGTGTCTTATCATTTAAAGCAGAAATTAAGAAGAGAAGAATGAAAGTTGAGATGAATTCCATTCCAAAACCTGGCAAAACAATGCATCAATGCAAATATTTAATACAAATTTACACACGCATATGACCTCACCTTGCATTGGGGACACGCCCGACGCCAACTGGGTCGATCCTAATGACCACGTGAAATTTGAAGGGGTAAGACCCACCAAGATCTGCGCCCCCAGAGCAGTACCCACGCATTGCGTCATAATGTAGAGAGCACCAGTGACAATGGAAATTTGACCGAGCGATGCGAGCGCAATTGTCACGGCAGGATTCATGTGGCATTGCAGGCTCTATACATATGTGGATAAGTACATGTTCATTTAGTCTAAATGTTTTGCAAACTAAAAATATTTAATGGGGGTATTCACAACAACTTCCACTAATCTCGAAAAATCAGCATAAATTACGAATTATCGTGAAATTTTGCAAAGCTTTTACTGGAAAACCATAGGGTTTTTAGTTGTTAGTTACAAATTCATCCAGAAATTGGACATATTTGTATTTCATTTCACAAAATTATTTTGCAAATTCATGCTCTCTATCAGAAATTACAGAAACGCCGATATTAAATCAAGGGATAATTGTTTTTGTAGCTTTGCGAAATCATTTAGATGTACGAATCTCCTAACACGACAATTTGTTTCGCAAATTTACTAAATAAGTGTTGCCATTCTAAATACGGCGCTATCGTGAGTACCCCCAATACATATGTGAAAATAATTACCAAGGCCAGCGTCGCCACAATGATCCCCCAACAAAGCGAGACTCCAGTCAGATTGAATGACTCGGGATTACTGTGAAGTGCTGCGAGGACGCTTCCACACCCCGTCACGATCAGAAGACATGATCCGATCAGTTCCCTTACCAAGGCTTGACAAAGCTCCCTTGGGGAGACGCGAATCTGAAGCAGTGCCCACTCCATTTTTTCTAATGAGAGCCGACTCAATGGCGCAACTCGGTATAAATTCAGCACAAAACCACACTTGTCTAGACTTATCAGACCAGTTGAGAGAGGAAAAAATGGGGAAAATGATTTAAAATAATGAGGAAAAAAATTTAAATATTTCCGACAAAATGACACTACTTAGTTGAATTCAAGTTAGAAAGTATCTTATTATTTTCATACCTACATAAATACATAGAAGCGGCGGATGGCAATGACACCGGAAACACATATCAGGCTACTGGAGAGAGGAAAAATCGAGAAAATAATATGAAATAATGAGGAAAAAGTAACGTCAATTTTTCAGGGAAAATGGCACTGGTTTAATTAAAGTTAGAAAATAGCTTATCATATTCATACCTATGTACGATGGATGGCAATGACACCGAAAACGCTTTTGTAAACTTTTCCATAAATACAAGTTTCACAAAACCAGGATAAAATTGGTGTCTCGTTGTTCAACTTCTTGTGGTTGTAATGTATGTACAGAAATAAGCTGCAAATCAACAAAAACACGGAAAAAATGCACACTTATGTAAGTCCATCACAGTTATGCAAATGTTTATGTTTTATTTAAGAAGTGTTCTGCAATCCAAAGGTTAGTAATACTATATTTTGAGTTGAATTCACAATTATATTGCTTATTTGATTGATTGATTGAAGCTTTATTCAACTGTCTACCCAGTTCAAGTAACAAGTTACATATACTCTTCCACAAGTGGCGCATGTACATAATAAACTTTTCCATCATTATTAATTCATAGTTCGTTTGCACGTTGAACCCTGGTTATAAATAGGTTGGCAGATATGTGTAACACCCTGACCACTGTCTAGCTAAATAATTATTGGGTTTGCATAACAATAATTTCGTAAATATATAAATACAAGCCAACGTCTTGGTCAAGTCAATCGTCACTTTACCTTAGAAAGGACAAGTCACCCAATCGTATTTATCACTGATTCTGACAAGGGTATGATTTTTGTTATAATTTTTCTCTCACTGTACATAAATTAATCTATATTTTTTCAAATAATTAGTAGCGTCTTGTGAAATAAGCCAGCCTTAATCATGACAAATTTCGTTGGAGCGATTGATCAAGGGACAAGCTCGTCCAGGTTTCTGGTATAGCTTTTAATTTTATCGTTATTTTAATTATTTTAATTTAGATTTTATTTTATGTTAGTAAATACGATGGTTAATTTCCCAATTAAAATTCATGTTATTATTTTTTTTTAGATATTTGAATCAAATACGGGAAGATTGGTGACTTATCATCAGACCGAGATTCCAAGATTTGCACCACAACAAGTAAGAATGCTATACATACATGTGCATTCAAATTGTGATATAACTTAGGCAACTCATTAGCCTGCATATTTATTTATCGTGCCGCGGATTATGCGTAGCATGAAAATACTTATTACTCACTAAACAAATTTTTAAGTTCTTATAATTCAAGCGAATAGTTGACAGGATGTGATTTATTTCTTTCTTATTCTTTCTTATTTCTTTCTTATTCCTTATTTCTTTCTTATTATTTATAGGGATTAGTCGAACAAGATGCCAAGATTTTGATATCTTCCACTCTCACCTGCATCGATCAATGTGTCGAAAAATTTGAGGCTTTGGGATTTTCTGTCTCGCAAATTAAGTCAGTTGGCATAACGAATCAACGAGAAACGTTCATCGCGTGGGATAAAATTACCGGAAGACCGTTGTACAATGCAATTGGTATAAATAATTAAAATACTGTATTATTAACTCGGTGGCTTCTGCCAAAACTTCTATCCCACGATGCTAAAAATTTCATTGTCAGATAGAAATTGAGCTAAATGCATGCCTTTTCTCATTACAGTTTGGATGGATACCCGATCCCGTCCTGCCGTGGAGGAGTTTTTATCCACGAAGAAAGAAGAATGTGAAAAAATCCGTCGAATGTGTGGCCTTCCGATGAGCACATATTTCAGCGCACTTAAAATGAAATGGCTTCTGGATAATGTGCCCGAAGTTAGAAATGCGTCTGATGAAAACCGATTATTATTTGGTACCGTGGATTCTTGGCTAGTTTGGGTAAAATTTAAACATTTGGTGTACTCACGACAACTCTTGTTTATGTAGCATGGCAAATTTGCGATGCTCGAAAAATTTGTTGGCATTAGAAATCTGTATGATTTTGTTAAGTTCGCGAAGCCATAAAAAGTGAACCCCTCCATTATGGTAACTATGTTCATAGATCGAATATTTTGCGTACTCCGGCCTCCGGCCGGCCATGCGTACTCCGGCCTCCGCGTACTCCGGCCTCCGGCTGGCCACGTGTACTCCGGCCTCCGCGTACTCCGGCCTCCAGAAAAAGCTGCGTACTCCGGCCTCCGGAGGCCGGAGTACGTACTCCAAGCCCGGAGTACTCCGATCTATGACTATGTTACCCTATTTTAATTTGAGTTTGCGAAATATTTTTGCAAAGTAAAAATATTTCTAGTGGCGGAGAAAATTTGCAAAAAAAAACATGGTTTTTCAGCAAAAATTTCACAAAACCTTCGAAAATTATGTTGTTTTGCTAAATTGTGGGGAATTTATGAAAGTTGACGTGAATATGCTCGGTATTTATGCAAGTTGTGAAACATGTTTGCACATGTAAACCTATTAATACGCTAGAATTTGACTGGAGGGATCAGTGGGGGTCTACATATCACCGATGTTACCAACGCTTCAAGGACCATGTTAATGAACTTGGAGACCTTACAGTGGGATCCATATTTGTGTGAGCAAGTGAAAAATATGCCAATCTATTTCTGGTTATTTATGTAATGAAAATCTTTCTAAAAATTCAATGAATTTAGATTTTTTGGGATTGATGTCCAACTGCTCCCTGAAATTAGATCTTCCTCAGAGATCTATGGGCATTTTGTGACCACAAAACTTGCCAAAATTCCAATTTCCGGGGTACGCACATACATATTTACATAATTTTAACTACAAATAGATAATAATTAAATAACGTTTCAATGCATATTCACAGATTTTGGGTGATCAACAAGCCGCATTGGTCGGTCAGTCATGCCTCAGACCAGGCGAAGCAAAATGTACGTATGGAACAGGTTGCTTTCTTCTGTTCAACACTGGAGAAAAGGTTTGTTTCTGATGACTCACAGTTTCCCCCATAGGTTGCGGAACCGTGGAGACATTGTGGGGACAGATTAATGAAATTGCAAGGATAGGAAAATCCAAATTTTTATGGGGACATTGTCGCCGCAGTTCCGCTGCCCCTGATTCCTCCCAAGACACTAATTTTAACCTTGTCAAAAATATTGCAATTTCCAGATCGTTCATTCCACTCAAGGCCTCCTGACCACGGTTGGTTATAAGTTGGGCCAGGATTCTCCCGTCGTGTACGCTATGGAAGGGTCCATCGCCATCACGGGGGCATGCATTCGCTGGTTGAGGGACAATTTGGGCTTTGGGAAGAACTATGGAGAACTGGTCCAATTGGCCGACAGTGTCGACAATACGGGAGGAGTTTTCTTTGTCCCTGCTTTCTCGGGACTGTTTGCCCCCTACTGGAAATCCGGAGCAAGGGGGTAGGTAAAATTTTTTTGGGGGGGGGGAGGTCATTACAAGTTCGCGAAAACTAATATTGCGAAGTACTTGTCTGGAAGAAAAAATGACATGAATTTTAATTGGGAAATTAACCATAATACTCTCATAACATAAAATCTATATTAAAATAGCGATACAATTAAAAGCCATACCAGAAACCTGGACGAGCTTGTCCCTTGATCAATCGCTCCAACAAAATTTGTCATGATGTGCAATTTCGATAATGAATTTTTTGCAAAAAATTTTTGCGGATTTTTTTTTTGCTAATGTTACTAATGCTCCGAATATGTCATTGGGGGTATTCATTACCAGTTTACATGTTCGGATCGAAACATAATTCCGAAGCAAAATTCGAAGTAAGTATTTAAATACGAGCCTTGGACATGTGCAAGTTCGCGAATTAATTTCCAAGACAAAATTTTTGCAAACATTGTTTTTGCTGACGATGCGAACTCGTCATCAATACCTCATCATATCGCAATTTGTTCATATGCATTTTGTAATTTGCCGATTTTATAATTGTTGTCTTTCAGCCTAATTTGTGGCCTTACCGAGTTTTCGACGAAAGCTCACATAACTCGAGCCGCCTATGAGGGCGTTGCTTTTCAAGTGAAAGACATTTTAGACGCGATAAACAATGAGGCCGGTGTGGTTCCACTCTGCTCTTTACGAGTCGATGGTGGCATGACCGTTGTGGACAGTTTGATGAGGATGCAGGCTGATTTCTTAGGGATTGAAACACTACGGGCAAAAATGCCGGAAACAACTGCACTCGGAGCCGCAATGGCGGCCGGATTCGCGAAGGGGGTGGATGTTTGGAATCCATTCTTGGAACAGGAAGATGCCATTGGTGTGGACGTATTTCGACCCACCATGGATCAAAAAGGTATAAAAGTTGGGTCTGTTAATGAGTGGACGTGGTGTATTTCATAATGAAATTTTCATTACATATGCAAATTATTTGTAATTGCAGAGCGGGACGAGCGACACGCAAAATGGAAGAATGCTGTAGCTCGAAGTTGGTAAAATCGCTGCAAAAATCAGACTTGCAGGAACAGTTTATACCTTAAAAAATACAAATATTTGACAAGAAATGAAAGGCATATGGATCTATAAGGCTAGTTAACTTTGAAGTATGTAAATTTAATATTTCGTCATCAATTAATTCGAATTCTCCAAATGTTTAGCATCTCGTCATAGAAGAATACTTTAATATGCTTCACATTTATTGCTCAAATGAAAATAACCTTAATCCTCAATCTGTACAAGCTTCAAAATAAATAAACTTGTTTAGCATGAATTAGTAAGTAATTCCATAAGTAAGTAAATGCATTTTATTTTTTGCAGAAAGCTTTTGCATGACGAAAATTAACCACTTGTCACAAATGGATAATATTTACTGGATATATATATAAGCAATTATGTTTTTTGGACGCAAGAAATACATAAAAAACACAAGAAATTGCTAAAAAAATAGTAGAAACATTCGAATTAAGAATACGCAACTCATTTCTTTTTCAAAGCCAGCAACGTTCTTAACAATCCACGAACATTTCCTTGCACAAATTTAACCACGGTTTTATGCGTGATCACCATTACTCCCGGATAACCTAAGAATAATGGTTTGCAACTTTTCCTAAACTTCGCCATGTACATTGTCTCCTGCCTTGACCATTCTTTTCTCCCAGATTTCCAGGATCTTAAGCTCACCCGTGACCCTTTGTGCACTTCAGCCGCGCAAGAGAGAAATACCACCCACGATATCATCGCGCATGGAATACTACATAATAAAAAGAGGGAAAAAAATACTTCCAAATTTTTCCCTTCAACGATTAAAATGTATCCCGTAGATATGCAAATTTGGCTGAATAAAGCTTGCGTAATTGGGACAAATGGTCCAACCACGCGCGAACCTACATAGTCGGGAACACTCAAGTGTCAACAGCCGATTGCTAAAAAACTACGCCGCAGAATTAAAATCTGATAAGTGCATTAGATTCGCCATGCGATTTACATTATGATTCACTATGGACTTTGTAATTTTTGAACATCTGGATAAATATACAGGAAATTGAAGAGAAGCGGGCGGCGATAGTTTTTCACAAAAAAAAATCGAAGAAAAACGGTGAATTTTTCATGTGCTGAAAAAGTCAAGGGTGTACTTTAATTTAGCCCAACGGACTATAAAAACATTCATGGGGACCGAATCGACAAAGAACAGTCGAAGAAGAATTTTTTTAAAACCTCCAAGGACCACACCCATCATGAAGCCTCTCAAGCCTGGAATCCGAAGAAATTCACGAAATTCCAACGGAAACCGGGCTCACTGCTGACAATGTAGATGCAAATTATCCAATGAGTGCTCAAATTGAAGCTTAGGCTTAAGGCTTTGAAATGTGGTACTTGCCACATCCTGATCGTACCCCAAAGGAAAACCAGATTAAATAAGTGCAGGAGTCACCTCAAGTGGTACGCTCCAAAAAAGTGAGCAGGATTCATTTTACAAATGAGATTTTAACATCGGAAAAATCTTTTAACAAGCGAATTGTCCTAATCTACGCAAAATCGGTCAGAGACATCCCCCGATATAGATAAAAGGTCAGAAAGTCACATTATCCAGGTTTTTTGATGATTTTGGCAGGTGGGAGCTAATTGGGGTAATTTCTCTACATTTTGCTGAAAATTGGGGGGAGGTGGGGGAATCAAATTTCTTAAAATATGTTTTTGAGTCCGTGGTACATCCCCTAAGTGAGATCCAATTCAATGGAATCGATGGGACCTCTCAGCAGGACTCAGCACGAATTTATAGTGCAAAAAATGACCCAAGCGTAGCTAAAAAAACAAATTCCGGTCTTTATCTCCAATCAGAATTGGTGATCATCCTTGATGGATTTGAACCACCGGAATATGAAAAATGGTCAAAGTTAGGGGCAAAGGTGTGTTCTAAACCCCGTAGAAGTGCGGAGGCTTGGAAAAAATTTCTGACCCCGGAATGCCACAAAATGTCCCTGGAATCGGTGCGTAATTCTATCGAGGAGTGGTCGTCTCGTCTTTAGCGTGGCATTGACGCAGGAGGAGGAAATTTTTAAGACTAAAAATTGTTTTTGAATTGAAATTTATCTGGCTTTTCGGTAAAATAAATCAAAAATTGCTAAGTTGAGATTTACAAAAGTAATAAGGCTATATGTCATTGACACTTGAGTGTTTCCGACTATGTAGTTTCGTTATCAAGTCCAAACTTCTGTAGACAAGAATAACGTTCTCAGTTGACGCCCTTAGATCCGGGACAGTTTGAAATTTCCTGCCAAAAGTTTTTCTGCAGTCGAAGTTTAGTTCCTCTTGAATAAGTGGGAGGAGAAACATAATAAAGGCGGAAAAGCCGTAGAATATCATCCTCATTAAATATGCGCCGTGATACAGGGTGTAAATTATGGAGGGAATATAGATCATGTAAACTACGAGGTAAATGAAGGAATCGTGAGGAAATATGTTTGGAATGAAGGCGGGGTGTTCTGGTATGAATAAAGTTGGGACAATGGCAATGAATGGGGCAAAATGTAACAAAAGATCGACAACATTAGCAAATAAAGTCCATTTTCGGTCGAAATTAGCAACGGCTTGAGATTCTGGGTGGGACCACCATTGAGCTGAAATTATAGAAATTTTGTAGCGTTACTCCTTGGTAATAAGATTGTAAAATCAGTAAATTCCGTAAACTTACTAAGTTTTACAATTCACGTCGACTTTCGTAAGGGCATAACAATGTAAGTTTACAAAGATTAGCTTACGAACCAAAAACATGGCTTTTATCTTGTTAGGTTTTGTACGTTCGTAAGACAAAATTACCTTCGCGATGTTCGTAACTTTGGTAAGGTTACGAAGGTTGACGTGTGCCTCAAAATTTTACAAATATTTACAAGGAAAATTGACTTATAAATTTACTCAGATCGAGGGTGTCTTTTTATCTTGCAAAAGTTTGTAAAATTATTTTACAAAATTTAAAAATTTTATAAGTTACAAAAACATTCTAGATATATATAAAGTACAGAATAAATTAAGTTAACTCAATTTACCGCAAAATCCAGTCGAATACAGAATCACGGAATTTGACAAACATGCCAGATCTTGGCCTTTAAAGGAAAGTACGAATAGGCTGATGCATGCTCCGATTATGATGTAAAAGCTGATCAGGAGGAAATTGAAGGTGACCGAATATCCGAGATATTTGAACTTCACAGTTTGACAGAAAATTACAATTGCGTCCAAAATTAAAAACATTTGGACAATAATGGAATTAGCATGGAGCGAAGGGGAAAATTCCAATCGGTGATTTTTAACATTCCAGATGTAAGGAAAGCTAAAAATGTTACCAGTTTTTACGGTTTTTCCAAACTTGGATAGAAACTTTTCGGTAAACATTTTGTGTTCATTTAGGCTGCAATTTCAAGGTCTCACTGAGGGAACGAAACTTCAAGAAATCGACATGGGAATAAATGCTTCAAAAATATTCGAGACCATGAATGCTATTTTCGAAATAAAAGCTATGATATTATCTTCAGACTCAGACTTCTATTCAAACCTTATACAATTGTATCCACTTAATTATTACATAATCAAGTCCATGCATCGTTAAAAACTGCTCTGAAACTCAATTATGCAAAAGGAGAGGTTTGTCGGGAACAGAGGCATCGTTAATTGGTATGTGTTTTATTAGTTTGTTATTGGCTTGTCGACCAAATTTCTTTTATCGATGATTATCTTCATAAATATATTTATAAAAATTGGCTTTGTGAATTATGAACTGACAATGATGCACTTTACCCCTTTCCAACAAATCTAATTTGTTCTGGTCACGTTAGAAAATTTGAGCTTTGACTATCGACAAAAAGTATTATAAATATTAACTTAAAATGAAACGACTGACTTGCAATTTCTCGTAAGAAATTTGTCGGTGACATTTTGCAATTCTAACTTACAGAAGAAAAGGCAATTGCAAAGAAGTTGATGTTTCTAATGCAGAAATTAAATCGCTTTCTAAAATTATATGCCAAAACAAAATTGTAGTCATACTGAAAATTTGTGACTATTAGGAAAATTATTGGTTTGTCTGGAAACGAAATAGTTATGCAATAAAATACGTATGTGTTTTATTATTAATTTTCAAAAGGTATGTTCCGCACTGTTTCTCACCAAAATTTTGATGAAAGAACAAACTTCAAATACATTTAGGAGGCTGTGATTTTTTTCAGCTCTGTGGGTTAGCATAAACACTAGCAATAAATCGGCAAACTTTACCTCGACGGAAAAAATGCTAGATTTGCAAATTAAATATCGTAGTGTGATTTAATTTTTAATGCTGGATGGGCAATACGTGTCGCAGATTTATGATTGAATGCTTAAAATTTACGATGAAAACTGCCCAACACAAAACACAAATTCAATTGGGTTAATAATTTTAAATGATGGCGAAACGAGGTCTCGGGCAAAAAGTCGCCAGGACGCTCAAAATCCGTTTCTTCCACAGAAAGGCTCCGGAAACTAGAAGAACCAATAATGAGAGATCCGCGATTGAAACTGTCCTATTTAGCAGATGAGATGGGTGTTCCAAAACCAGCAATTTGTTCCATGTTAACTGAAGACTTAGGTATGAAAATGGATTCCGTCCGTTGGGTACGAAAATTGCTTTCGGCATCTCAAAAACATGATCGAGTCGACTTTTGCAATGCCAATTTTAACCTATTAAATGAAGACTTGAACCTGCTCAATATTTTATTAGCTAAATATGGTACCTGAGTTTACTATTATGACCCGGTGACCAAATAATAATTCCCTCAATGGAAGCAGGAGGGGTTGGCACCGCCCGAGAATTGAAAAGTGCAAAAATCTGACAAAAAATTGATGATGACCATTTTCAAGGATATCAAAGGTCCCCTCCTTATAAAATGTATTGCTGGAAATACTACAATAAATGGGGCCGCGTATGCAGGTACCCAGAAGGAGCTGCGTCCTCCGGTTGAAAAGAAACGTGGGGTCAAAATATAGAGTTGGCCTTTTTTTAGACGACAACGCTCCTCCTCATACCTGGCTTTTTGCGAGGGATAGTGCAGACGAAAATCGCTTTACCTGCACAAACCACACCCCGTGCAGTTCAGACTTGACCCTTAGTGATTATTATTCGTTTCGAAACTTAAAGAAAGACATCAGGGGAAAACGGTTTTCGGATGATAGTGATATGAAGTCGTAAATTTTGGCATATTTTCGAGGTAAATTTTAATGGGTTATTGCTAGTGTTAATGTTAACCTACAGAACT